TGTGGGACTAAAAATCATATTATTAAACCCATTAGTTGTATCTGTAAATCAAATATTTATGGACCTGAGCCTGTGAGAAAAGTGACATTTTCCTTGATCTCTGCCAGGAAATTGAAAGGTTACTATCTTAGAGCATCTTAGAATGAGACAGACCTGTACTGAATCTTGTTTTGCTTTCGAGAGAAGAATGAGGATGCTGCAAGATTTGCAGGTGTGTTCTAGCTCTAGGCAGTTTATTTTTTTCTTCTTTTAACTCAACTATGGACTTTCTCAAAAGGAAAACACCACTTATTCTTAATGCCCCACCCAACCTACCCCTTTTTTTCTTTCAATGTGAAAATCTCTGGTGGTCAATTTCTAACTTCTTTTGCCTTCCTAACGGTAGAGTCGCAAATTACTTGACCCTTTGCTTCACCCCTAATTTAGTTTTCCTTCTTATTCTCATCAATATGAAGCAAGTCCAGATTGACACACTGTTGCTATGAGTATTGTACACTTTGAGCTTATCACTCCATTTGAGTAGTGCTGGGGTAGAAATTTGTGGCTATGACATAGCATTCTTAGCATTTTTCAAATGTTAAGTAGTTGGTGAAACAAGGCTGTAATTCTAGGCTAGGAAGTGTTTTGGTCAAGGTAGCATAATACTGACAAAGCTTTCCACTTGAGAAAAATTCTGGGAGGGGTGCCTTGGTGGCTCAGTTGGTTAAGCGTCCGACTTCCCACAGTTCGTGAGTTGGAGCCCTGCATCGGGCTCTGTGTTGAAAGCATAGAGCTGAGAGCCTGCTTTTGGGTTCTGTGTCTCCCTCTCTCCCTCTGCCCCCCGCCCCCCACTCATGCTCTGTTTCTGTCTCTCTCTCAAAAACGAATACACATTTAAAAAAAAGTTTCAAATACATTTTTCTTGTAAATCTTTGTAACTTTATTCTGACTATATACTATAAAGCACCTTGATATAGGAAATTTATACGAAGCAGAAATGTACTTTTTAAAAGGGAGAAAATCATAAAAATTATGTATGTTAGACTCCAGACCAGCATCTTGAATGCCAAGTTGATTTATTTCCATGGGAAGTTTCACAGACACCTATCTCTAGTTTGGTATGTTCCCAACTGAATAGCCCCTATCACAGTGGTGGAACACTATCCACATAGTCACCCAAGTCAGATAGCTGAACTTGTGCGAGGTTCCTTTTCCTATCCCTCAGGTCAAACTAACTACCAAATTTTTATTCTTAATTTATTCTTTAATGAGCATATATTTACTGATTGCCTCCCTTCATGGAGTGGCAATGCTGAACTATTCATTTTCTTGCTTCTTGTCCTATTTTTTTTTTCCAAATGCTGCCACTGTGTTGCTGCTGGAATGATGTACATAAATGCTGAAATGACATACTGAAGTATACATTTTGATCTTTCAGTGGATCCCTATAGTTCTTAGAGTAAAGTTCACATTATTTGGTTTGATCACAGTAATCTTTACAATAGGACTTTTGCCAACATCATCTCATTCCATTTTCCACCCTGGAATCTTAAACCTCAGACAACTTGCAGTTCCTCAAATATGTCTTGTTCTCATTTGTCTCCCTTATGCCCTTGGAGAATGCTCTTCATTTTTTTTTTCTTTTATTTTAATAATAATAATGTCTGTCTTATATTAGCTCAAATTTAAATAAGTTCGGAAGGCCTTTCTGACCTCAGACTGAGCTACATGCCTCTCTTCCAGTTTCAGAAGCTTATAATGCATATCTCAATGATAATATTTACCATACTTATCTTACACTGTATACTGTTTTACTTGTCTGTCTATCACATAAAAATATAAAGCTTTGAGGGCAGGTACTACCAAAGATATATAATAGGTACTTGATAAATGCTTATTAAATAGGTTAGATGGTATTTCTTTGGAAGTTGCCTCTCTTTGTGATTTGAATTAGCATTTATTTACATACCAAATGGAGTATTGGTAAGCTAATCAGAATTACTTTTTCACTTTGTTAATATAAATGAAAGTTCTAAAGCACAAGTTCTAGGAGTAATGTAAAGATTATTTAAGCTATGGATAAATACAAAAACTAGGATAAGGACAACTGTCATCAGTGAACAAAATGGAAAGAAGAAATTATTTTGGATAATGAGGAAATGGTCATCAGTGATTTTAGCTGTCACTAAAAGCATGGTGGGGGGAGGAAACATTCTAAACATATAAAATATCACAATGTAAATAATTTAATCACATGATGGAGTCATCTTGATAATATTCAAAGAAATGCCCATGTTGTATCTAAATCTCTATGGAATAATATTAATGTTTCGAAGGTGAGTACCAAGTCTCATATTTCTTCAGTATTCCTCTATGATACTCATTTTATAAGATGTTTAAAAAAGATTGATTTCCGCCTTCATTGACTATAAAATAATTAAAATGTGTTAGCTATATAAGGAAAACTACAAATCTTTAAACATTATTTAAGAAATTTTTAACATAGTGGGGTACCTGGATGGCTCAGTCGGTTAAGTGTCTGACTTCAGCTCAGGTCATGATCTCATGGTTAGTGAGTTTGAGCCCCACATCAGCCTCTCTGCTGTCAGTGCAGAGCCCACTTCATATCCTCTGTCTCCCTCTCTCTCTGAGCCTACCCTGCTCACGCTTTTTCTCTCTCAAAAAAAAATAAGCATAAAAAAATTAAAAATTTTTTTAACCTAGTAATTGAACATCTATTTTTGAGAGAGAGACAGAGTACTTCCAAGGGAGGAGCAGAGAGAGAGGGAGACACAGAATCTGAAGCCGACTCCAGGCTCTGAGCTGTCAGCACAGAGCCTGACACAGGACTTCCAAACCTACGAACTATGAGATCATGACTTGAGCCGAAGTCAGACGCTTAACCAACTGAGCACCCCAGGTGTCCCTTGTTTAAATAACAAGCAATTTTATTCATGCAAAATGTATTTCTCATTAAGACAAAAAACCTGAGTAAGTTTATCAAATTTATATATATATATATATATGTGTGTGTGTGTGTGTGTGTGTGTGTGTATATATATATATTCAAAGATCTGTAGTCTTTAGCATCATCACATATTCTAATAGTCATTTACTAAATCTGTTTCAGTATTAATTTGTATTTTTATAGAATGTAAATTCCAGGAGGACAATACCATGTATTTTTTTTTCATCCTTGTGTCCCAAGGATAGTACTTGGCACAGAGGAATAAATATTTATTCAACAACAAACAAATGGATGAAGGCAACCTTTTTACAACTGTGTATTCTAGTTTAGTTCAAATAAAATTTAGAATGTGTACTCAGATTTGTAGTGTTAAAGAATAGCATTTTTAATGCTGAATTTATAACTGTTTTCCTATTTCTCACCTTTTTTTTTTGTTTCCCACTGAATAATCTCGATCTGTTTTGTTTGTCAAAATACCTAAGCTATTCCAAGGTTGTAACTTTGGAAAGAGGAAGAATTAAGTAGAATACTCTAGTAGGCTCTTATTCGTTTTCTAAGTTAATTTTCACCCAGTGAATGATAATTGCTCATATTCAAAGTTGTCCAAAATATATATGAATCACGTTAAAAGATTCTATTTATGTACCAAATGAATTCAATCTTATTTTAATATTTTTCTATCTAACCTTGTCTCTTTTTCTATTTCTTATTGGATAAATTAAGATTTATAAGATTTCCTAAAGCCAATACTCAAGAGTTCCCTTAAAAGAACAGTTAGAAGAACAGGAGTAGAAAACAGTAGCTATTTTCTGCTTTTCTTATTTTGTGCTGATTTTTAAAATTGTAGAACATGAACAAGTGCTTATTATGTCCATGATTCATATAGATATACTCTTAAAAACTTTAGTTTACATTTAGAGTATTATGAAACAAATAGTACATATTTTCTATAATATCAGGACATTTTCTATTGTTTCTAACGTACACATTTAAAGCATTGTTTTATAAATACAAAATGTGGTTGCTAAAAGCCTGTGTCAACCTCTTGGGTTATTATCTTTGTTTTGTGTTTGTTAACAGAGTTGTTATATTAATGATATAAATTTAACAAACCTTTTCTATTTTAAAATATGAGTAGAACATTAACTTTCAGTTAAATACGTCTGTTATAGTCCATCACAATAACATCCTCTAAATTTACACTCATGATTAACCAAACATCCCCTCTCTTTGTCTTTTTGAGTAACAGCATGCTTCTATGGCTCTTTAATTAAATGACCTTACCTTACATTTGTCTCGACTGGCTTCTGTTTACAGAAATTGTAAACCAATTGAATGCTCTGAGCAGCTTAGATGAAGATCAAGATGACTGCATAAAGCAAGCAAATATGCCTTCAGCTAAATCAGCCAGTTCCTCTGAAGGTCTAAGAGCTTTCTTCCTTTCTTTCTGCTTCTGATTGCCTGTATTTACTGTGACCTGCTACCTCTTGACTTCTCTCTGTACTTATTAGCTGTCAGTTTTGTCTTTGTGCTTTTCCTTGAATGTTTTCTTGGTAATTTGTAGCGCACCAACAAGCAACAACATAACTAACCATCTTTAGCAAAGCTTTGTAGGCAATGAAGGGCAGTGATTTGAAAACGTAAGAATTGATCATATAACGTGAACGTTTATCTTCAGTTAGCTTATAATTATACTGTTTTTAAATATTTGCTTACATTAAACCCATTTGAATTATTCATATTTAGGAGTGAAGGATGTTTTTCTAAAAATCTGTATCAGCACTTTTTTAATGGGTCAAATTAGATTCCAATGAAAGTTTCTCTTGTACATTATCTGACATAATTTTCAAATTAATGTGTATATATTTGTTGTATTTGAATATGTTGGTATGCTACAAAGTACTTGAATGGCATTCTGCCATAAATAAAATGCTACATCTTATTATTTGCAGGTATTATTAGTGTGAATTGTTATAATTTGAAATATTTTTCAATGATCAATAATTGTACTTAAGTATAATCATAGTGAACTAACACATATGTTTATTTTCAGAGCTTATCAACAAACTTAACTTTCTGGATGAAGCAGAAAAGGACTTGGCCACTGTGAATTTAAACCCATTTGGTGATCCTGATGTAGCAGAATTAAATCCATTTGGAGATCCTGACTCAGAAGGTAGCAAATTTTTTTCTGTACTTTTAAAGTCTTTATAAAGTGAAGTTATTTTGAATAGTTAAGTAGGAGGAGTTTTTTTTCCCAAAGACTCGAAGTAATTTTTGTTTATGATGATATTGTGTTCAAAGCCATTTGCAGTTGATCAACAAATCTGAGCAGTTTCCATTGAACTGTTTTTAAAGGAAAAAAAGAAACCTTTACATGGGGCTTTTTTTTTTTTTTTTTTAAATTCCAGTATGATTAACATTCAGTGTTAGGTTACTTTCAGGTGTTCCATACAGTGACCCAACAATTTTATGCTTCACTCTGTGCTCATCAAGATAAGTGTAATCTGAATCTCCTTCTATTTCACCCTTCCTCTCCATCCACCGTCTACATGAGGTTTATTTTTTATTTTTTATTTATTTTTTTTTACAAATAGTTTATTGTCAAATTAGTTTCCACATAACACTCAGTGCTTACATGAGGCTTATTTTTAAATTCTCTATTACTTTGGTCAAGGTAGATAGTAAAGCTCTAATGTTAGAGATAACAGTATTTTACCTACCTGGCATATAGTAAAGTCTCATTAGATTAGTCTACCACAGTAAGGGCAGGTTGTGAGATATGCTGATGAGGTTGGCTTCTCCCCCTGTCAGCTCCTCTGACCTCATCCTCAGAGAGTCCAGTGGACCCCTCTACCTCACACTCCATGTCTCTGGCTGAGAATTGTAGTCAGTAGGGAGAGTACATTGTGTACATAAATGGCATGGAGCAAAAGGAAGCTTGAAAACCACCATCATGTCTGTAACATACTTGCAAGGAATAAATCCAGGTAACTTTTTTTCCTAAGTCATTTCCAAAGTAAATGTACATCTTTTAGACTGCTCTTAGGAAATCCTCATGAGCTTTGAAAAATTTTGTTACTACTTCTTATGGTGAAAATGCAGCTTTAACTTGAGGATTCACTCTTGTTGGAGCAATATTTTGTAATGCATTTCATCTTCTCTTCCTTTACTTTCTCCCTTCTTGCCAGATTCTAAATTAGTAAATTTAAAATGAGATTTTGTTTGTGAGCTTTATATATTAAGAATACATTTTAAATTTCAATGGCTATAATAGATCTTAGAAGTAATCTATTTCACCTGCCTCTTTTCATAGATTAGGAAGCTGAGGCCCAGACAAATTCACTGATTTGAACAAGAACTTTAGGTAAATGGAAGTGGAGGTGGAGCTAAGATTGTTAATCAAGTGTCTTCTTTTGGCCACACAGCTTCTCCTCAGTTGTGTGCTACATATATCTGAGTTTTAAAAATATAACCATAACATTTTGAGACATCAGTATTTGAACTTTCCATTTCAAAATCAAATAAAAATAATTTAAGTATGTAGATAGATAAATAGATGGATCTTTTTTCTGAAATACAAAAAGAAGTAGCAGGTAATATGTAACTTCTGTTAGGAGAGGTTAGCCAACCTGACTCAGAATCTTTTTTTTTTTTTTTTTTTTTTTTAATTTATTTCTAGGAGAGAGAGACAGCGTGAGCAGGGGAGGGTCAGAGAGAGAGGGAGACACAGACTCTGAAATTGGCTCCAGGCTTTGAGCTGGCAGTCAGCACAGAGCCCGATGCGGGGCTCAAACCCACGAACCGCGAGATCATGACCTAAGCGAAAGTCGGACGCTTAACCGACTAAGCCACCCAGGCGCCCCCTGACTCAGAATCTTTAATCATGACTACAGAACTAAAAAAAAAAAAAAAAAAAAAAGTGACAATGAGTATTTTCCTTAAATACACATCTCTTAGAATCTTTGGACCAAATATTTTCTAATAGAAGAATACTTGTTTTTCTTGAAGTAATTTTTAAATTTTTATTGATTAAAAATTTGCATCCTCAGGTAACAAAAGCCTTTGAGGAAAAAAATGATGTGTTGCTGTTGTTTAGATGGTTCTTTTATTTGCTTTTACAGCTTCAATTGTCCTCTTAGATTCATGACATTCTGTGCTTCAGTGATCCTTTTAGAAAGTTATTAAATGTATTTGTTAGCTTTTATATAAAATAACCTTATTTTAAACCCTCCTTTGTTGCCATTTCTTTCATCTTCAAATCGTGTTCCTTGGTTTAAATACTTTCTTGCTTTTGGTTTTGTAACTGATGAATTTGCTTGGATCAATTTTTGCAATCCTCTTCCTGAAAGTAAAACTAACAGTCTTATTTCCATTGACCAGTTTTGTCTGTTTCTCTAACATTTGAGATTTGATATTTGTTAATAAAAAATTGAATAGGCAAAACTTTTCCAGTCTCTCTGCCCCTACAGAGAAAAGAAAATGCCTCATTTACATTATTTTATAAAAATTCTACTGTAGTGTTAAGTTTGAATATTATCCTGGTGTTACAAAAGTTACCATTGCTGAGCGAGTCTCTTCCCTAGCATAGCCTAGATTTAAATTAAAATTTAAAATTTAAATTTTATTTAAATTCATTTCAGTATTTATTATGATTTTATGGAATCTCTTTCACACTTTGTAATTGCTTCTCCATGGTGTATGGAATTTCAATTCAGAGGCTTTTTTTCCAATATAAAGACAAAATAAGTTTTCTGGGCTAATGTCTAAAGTATAAGTAAAAGGAGTTTAATGTTAAAATATAAAAATCATAAATATGTCAGTCATGAAGCTTGTATAATAATTGGATTAAATTGTTTGAAGTGTGACTTATGAAATTCACAGTTATTTTTCTTGAGAATTTCAGTAACGAGTTTTCTGCCTTCTAGAGTATTTTGTCACGGTTGCACAACATAATTAAAATTAACTTTTAAACTACACTATGATTGTTGGCTCTCTGAAACTTTTCTCCATTTTGGGAAACCATTTGGTTTTGGATAGTTTTATTACAAGTTCTAGTTTTGTTTTAAAATATTAAGACATAGAAAAAAGAAAAAAGCTGATACTAAGCACGTCATAAGTATCATTGAGGGCAGGATGCTATTGAAGTGCTTTTTGTGCTGTGAATCAGAATTTTATTTTTAAGAGTACCTTGGTTTTCAAAATGAAATGTAAAATAATAAAATTTAGGGGCCCCTGGGTGGCTCAGTTGGTTGAACGTCCTGACTCTTGATTTCAGCTCAGGTCATGATCTCACAGTTCATCAGAGCCCCATGTGGGGCTCTGTGCTGACAGCGCAGAGCCTGCTTGGGATTCTCTCTCTGCCCCTCCCATACTTGTGTTCGTGTGAGAGAAGAATTTAGAAGAATTTGGTGTTACATGTCTATCAGTTTATCAGGATGATTTCAGTGTAACGCTTTCAACCTGAGAATTCTTATGTTAATCCTTTACATTATTAAACAGAGTATTGATTGGATCCAAGTTATACTGAAGAAAATCAAACATCTCGTTAAAAGCTCTAAAAATTTAAGATCGTGCAGCATACAGAAACGTACTCTTAGAAGGCTTTGAAGAAACAAATTCAATGATATGTGGGTATAATTTTTATATAGTCCAGAATGAATTTTCAGTTCCCTAAGTGGTCTTTGCTTGTGTAACTACCAAAGACAATTTATATCAGTTTAGGATGGCAAGCTAGTATAGTCAAATAAAATAAGCAGTAAATAGAATATTATACCTCTAAGAAGGTTAAAAGTTCAAAAATTGGCATACTGTAATGCTAATAATATTAGAGACTCCAAGGGCATTCCAAAGAAGCCATTTTAGGGAGCAGCATTCCTGGAGAAGTAGACAAAGATTTTAGGTAACCCATCTTCTGAACTTAGCCCTTCTAAAACATACTGGTTTGACTTTTCAGCCTCATGAGAGTATTCAAGATTATTTTTCAAAACACTAAAAATAAAAGAAAATATTAGGTAATATTAATTTGATTTAATTCATCTTTTGCTATTTTTTATAGAACCAGTCACTGAAACAGCATCACCTAAAAAAACAGAAGAATCTTTTTATAATAATAGCTATAATCCCTTTAAAGAGGTACAGACTCCACAGTATTTGAACCCATTCGATGAGCCAGAAACTTTTGTAACTATAAAGGATTCTCCTCCCCAGTCTACAAAAAGAAAAAATGTAAGACCTGTGGACATGAGCAAGTACCTCTATGCTGATAGTTCTAAAACAGAAGAAGAAGAGTTGGATGAGTAAGTACATTTTAATTTGCCATCATCATAGGTTAGCCTCTATATTAACTGAAAAAATAGCTTTAATGGCTAAAGAGAGGTTTTTCCTGGTGTTAATATATAGTTTACAAATTAGTGTCCACCTGAGATTTTTATGATCTTGACTCTTAATCTCCCACCCTCTTCCATGTGAATGTGTGTGTGCCTTGAACTAACAGTGGAGAGAAATATGTTCTTGGAATCTCTGGTTAGAATTTCAGTTGCGTCTTCCCACAGGAACCACATTATAAATGGCACTTAGATGTTTTAAATCAATTACTTTAGGCAGTATATTTCAATTAGGTTCTCTTGTGGGAACCAAATAATCATTTATGATAATTATTTGGTGATGATAATTATTTGGTGAGAACACTTGTTCAGATGCCAAACAACGAGATCATAATTATAAATTAGGAATCATCTTTGTATTTAAAACAATGGTTTTCGGGCATTGGGTAGCACAGAATAGTAATTTCTAAGAGAATAGAAACAAAGAAGATGAGCCTTATACTTGTCTTAGTTTTATTTATGGGAGAGAATTTCCAGCTCTAGTTTAGGGAGTGAGAATCCAAAAGTCCTAGTAATCTCCACGGGTTGAGGAGACAGTTTGGACTTTTGACGTTCTGAGGAGAATAAAATTGTGGACAGAGTATCAGAGGAGAGAGAACTACTCATAGAAAGGATTTCAGAGATCTGTAGAAGGTACCCCCTGAGTCTTTGGCTGAGCACTGATGAGCGAATGCATATGAGGAAACATGACAGAAACATCCCTGAGGTTCACCAAGGACTAAGAATAGTCTATGTTTCCAAGCAGTTCCTAACACATGGGACATCAGGTTGAGTCCTCAGAAGGGTATCTCACTAATGTAGTGAGATTAACCATAGACTAAAGGCTGTTCTGGGCTTGCCTAACAAAGCTTAAAAGCAAGGCTCGAAAACAATCAAAATGATTCCAGGAAACTTAACTGAATGCCACACAAATTCACCAAAGATACCAAAGGGAATACCAAAAACTCCAGCACCCAAAATATAAAATTCATTCTGTCTGACAACCAGTGAAAAATCTATCAGGCATGTAAAGAAGCAGGAAAATCTGACCCATAATGAGGAGGAAACTTAGTCATTAGGTATGAATGTAGAAATGGCACAGATGATGGAATTAATAAAATAGTAATTTTATGTTTACTTGTAGTGAGGCTATATGTCTCTTTGTTTTCCTTAGAAATATGTGAATTTTAGTGTATTAAGATTATTTACATCTTGGGGGAAAATAGTTATTTCTTTAAAAATACAGTTAAGTAGGAAAATCTTTCAAAATAATGGGGATATGATAGATTGAGAGGGAAATAATAAAAACACTCCTTCAGTGTATGAAACTTGGGAGCAGTTGCTTTGTGTGAAGGGAGAAATGTCATTTTTTCCTGTGTATTGGTCAGCTCCTATTTGGAGCAGTATTTTACTTTTCTAGGTGCTGCACTCTACAAGCGATATTGATAATTCAGAGCATTAAAAGAATAGAGCAACAGAGTCATCAGAAAGTCCAGAAACCACATAAAATGAGCAGTGATTAAGGGCATACAGACTATTTGACTTAGAAGGAAGATTATTTAAGGGAACTATAATAACCAAATTCAAATATTTGAAAGACTTGTTTGAAAGAATGAGGTGGTTGACTTGTTTTCATTGCTCTGGAACTGCATTTCACAACCTTTTCCTATTTTACATCACATAGCCTATGACTCTCACGTGTGCTACATGCTTCCATGGGCCTACTTAGATTTTGGTAAAACTTAAAATGTTCCAGTTTGGGGGCACCTGGGTGGCTCAGTCAGTTAAGCATCCGATTTCGGCTCAGGTTATGATCTCATGGTTCGTGGGTTCAAGCCCCACGTCAGGCTCAGTGCTGACAGGTAGCTCAGAGCCTGGAGCCTGCTTCAGATTCTGTGTCTTCCTCTCTCTCTAACCCTTCCCTGCTCATGCTTTCTCTCCTTCTCTCTCAGAAATACAAACAAACAAACAAAATGTTCCAGTTTGCTATAAATACCTAGAAATATAACATAGTAATCATCTGATTCCAAACCAAAGTTTAGCTCTCAATACTAATTAATAACTATACAGGGGTTGAAAAAATGTGCTCGGCTCTTGCTAAAGTTATTATATTTACTTTCTTTGAAATAGCTAATGTGTGGGGTGCCTGGGTGACTCAATCGGTTCAGCATCTGACTTCGGCTCAGGTCATGATCTCATGGTTTGGGGATTCGAACCCTGTGTTGGGCTCTGTGCTGACAGCTCAGAGCCTGGAGCTGTTTCAGATTCTGTATCTCCCCCTCTCTCTGAGCCTCCCCTGCTCATGCTGTCTGTCTGTCTCTCTCTCATAAATAAATGAAACATTTAAAAAAATTTAAAAAGAAAGAAATAGCTAACGTGTGATCAAAATAAAATTTCTCATGGATGGTGTAGGTGCTGAGTAATAGCCACACACCTAGAATATTTGAATGTAGATATAAACTTTAAGTACAAGCATTCAGTCATTCCAAGATGCATGAGTATTACACAACACACATGCACACACACACACACACCCTGCTCTTTCCTATTAACAAATTAAAGAGACATTTAATGTTTGTTTAAACTTTTTAAATGCCTAATAAAAACTAAAATCAGAATCATTGGGTGTTTCCTTTTGACTATTCTTTTTTTTCCACATGAAAGTCACAGTCTTCACAAGTTTCCCATGAATAAAGAACATTCTAAATTGCTCAATCATCTGAGATTACCAGACGGAGCCTATAAACACTTCAGCTTTTTTTTTTTTTTAAAATAGGAATATACACACAGTTTCTAAAGACTGCTCATCAGCTAATGTGAGAGTCCTGGAAGAACTGTTTCTCATCTTTTTTCTCTAAAAGTTTGTAGGTCCAACTACGTTAGGAGAAATCTTCCAAAATTTGTTCTTACTTCAGTAATAAACTTTTGACCTTTCATCAGGTGAAAAGCCTGTATTACTCACCTTCCATTATCAAACTCTTCCTGCATCTTCTGACATAAACCTATCACAAATAAATAGTACTGGGTTCTTTGATGTGTAAAAAACCTTCAGAACCTCACCATATCCATCAGCACCAAGAGCTAGTAAACACCCTTCAGTGCTAGTAGCGCATGTCCTTTCCACTTAGCAGCCACATGGCTTCTCGGTTTTCTCTTGTTTGGGAGTCAGTGCAACCATTCTAGTTAATGTAGCAAAAATGAAAACTGATGATCAAGCAATATTTTTTTCAAAACACTGATGAAATGTTTTGGGGTCTAGCATAAAATCATTTCTGGTATAGTTGTATGTCTGGTTCTGAAGGAAAGTTGTCATTAAATTTTATTCAGAGAGGCTACACACTCATTTAATAAACATGAATTGTTTTTCCAAAGAAACATATATTTTCAAAGTGAGAGGAAAAGACTATAGACTTCACTGTACACTTGCTTCATATTTTATTATTTTTTCAGTATGTTTATTAATCCTATTTCTAATCAATTTATAGTTTTTCTGTAATTCTTTTTATTGGATGAATTACTTTCTAAGCAGTGAATAAAATTTATTCTGTCCAATTTTCCACTTAATATAAGTGATGAATTTTTAATTCACAATGAGTTAATGATGTAACTAATCTATTACTCAATCATGTAATACAAGGATAAAAATTATTTTTATTTATTCAAAGTGATGTAGAAAGCACTGAAATAGGAATTATGCTAATTCCTTAAATAATATTTCCTTACTAAAATATTAAGTATTTTTAAAATGCATTGATCAATAATTCTATCACACTTGTTTTTATAGAGAAGGGAGCAGTGTTGACAATGATGTATATAATGTATAGTAGATATTATTTCTAATCACTTTTTAAAATAGAGATAAAATTCCATATTTAAAGTGTACACTTCAGTGGTTCTTAACTAATTCACTGTGCTGTGCAGCCATCACCACCATCTAATTCTGCAACATTTTTCACCCTAAAAAGAAATACTTTACCTGTTACTAGTTAGTTTTAATTCCTCCCTTCCCCCATCCATCTCCTGAAAACCATTAATCTAAACTTTGTCTATATTGATTTGACTATTCTGGACACTTCATATAAATATAGTCATATCCTTTTCTTAAAGAGGAGGAAATTCAGCTTTACTTAGAAATGTCTGATCCATGGGAAGAATCATTCAGAGTCCTTAAAAGTAGAAGCTTCTTGTCCTACTCTGATTTAGTACTTAATGAGTGGTGGTACCTAGCACACTGTTGTCTCACAGGTAAATTATAGATATGCAGAGATACTTATTCCCTTAGTCCTTCTGGCATTGAGGCGTGGTCCTGGGCAGCCTGAGTCCCTGGTACTTCTATTTTCCAGCAGCTTCCTAAATTTTTACTCTAGCATGACATACAAATTTCATTTTTACTGCATGTCACATGTAAAACAGATTGAGAAATGTAGCTCTAATTGTTTCCAGAAAATGTCCATTTTGATTAGTTTCTAATTAATAATGAGTCTTACTATCCAGCTTTGGAAATCAAATGATTATGAACTTCTTTTTTTTTTTTTTTTAATTTTTTTTTTTTTTAATGTTTTATTTATTTCTAGGAGAGAGAGAGACAGCATGAGCAGGGGAGGGTCAGAGAGAGAGGGAGTCACAGATTGAAACAGGCTCCAGGCTCTGAGCCGGCAGTCAGCACAGAGCCCGACGCGGGGCTCGAACCCACGAACCGCGAGATCATGACCTAAGCGAAAGTCGGACACTTAACCGACTAAGCCACCCAGGCGCCCCTATGAACTTCTTTTCTACTTGCATTTACCTTCTTTTGACAAAGAATACTAATATTCAGGTAGTTAGAGGGAGACCTAAGTGGTTTGAAACAGGCAGAGACATGAAGATAAATGACAATATCTAGTTATATTTGAACACATACTAGATAAGTTTAATAAAAGTTGCATGAGTACCGTAAATTAAGTTATATAAAGTGTACTGAGGAACTACCTGTTTTAAGGGATTCTGTCATTTTTTTCTCTTAAGCAAAATTTTTTTTTTAATTCTTTATTTTATTTTTGAGAGAGAGACAGAGTGTGCGCAGGGGAGGAGGAACAGAGAGATAGGGAGACACAGAATCCGAAACAGGCTCCAGGGACTAAGCAGTCAGCACAGAGTCTGACTCTGGGCTTGAACTCACAAACTGTGAGATCATGATCTGAGCTGAAGTCGGATGCCCAACCGACTGAGCCACCCAGATGCCCCAAGCACAAATTTTTTTGTAATAAAATATCCTCTAACACTTAGGTTTTTCTTAAAACTAGCCATATTTACATAACAAATTAATAATAATGATGACTGTAGTAGCTGCCATCTTATAAAGTACTATGCAAGTTCATTTTAGACAAACCTGACCAAGAAAATTTTTTTAAATATTATCCAAGTAGTTCTTATAACTGAACAAATTCAGTTGGATTGAAATGGGTCTGTTCAATCCTGAAACATTTAACATTAATTGGCAAGTATTTAATTGCCAGAAGGACTAAGGGAATAAGTATCTCTGCATATCTATAATCTACCTGTGAGACAACAGTGTGCTAGGTACCACCACTCATTAGGTACCAGATCAGAGTACCTAATCAGTTTGGGTAGAAATGATTTTTTCCCTTTTAAAATTTTGGAGTTAAAAAAATGATATTTTCAACTTACTTCTTTGGGGAAGTAGGAGAATAGTCTACTATACTATACTAGTCTATAAATATCTCCCTTCAGACTACTTTTAGAGTTAGAAAAACAGCTGTACAAGGCTATCATAATTAGCAGGGGAAATAAGATTGTTGTAAGGATTGAATGGGTTAATATATATGAAACAAAATAGGGCCTAGCACAGCATAAACACTTTATTAATCTTAGTTAATAATGTTATTGATAAGCCCTCTATTCTAGGCTGAATAGGATACCTTTTATAACTCTTTTCAGAAAGAATGTTCAGCTTTTTCTGAGCACCTAGTTATTTTAGCATTGTTCCTTGCTTTGATTTCCCCCAAGTTCTTCTGCAGCTTGTAAACATGGGATGTAAATACATCAAGCATATCTTGGTCACTAGACAAGAATATTTTGTTCTGAAAAGCAAATTTTTAAGTATATATCTATTTCTTGTTCTTTTTCTCTTGAATGCACAGAAATAAGAAGAGGAGAGAACACAAGAAATAGGTTTCTAAATAAATGCCAACCTCACTCAGTTAAAAGCAACTACCCTGACCCAAGTTGAGAGAGATTCTGTGGCTGTACCCTAGCTCAATGGGAAGGAATCTCATGACACTAATTGTTGCCATGAGTACAGAGTAAGAATGATGTCACAAGTATGATATGTTTCCCATCTCTGGTCCATATATACTTGGTACCCAGTCTCATGTGATTTGACTATCTCTATATGAATTCTTAGGAAGAGGTGTATATAATTGGTTATTGGGGTTCTGAGTCTTGTACTGTTGTAGTTAAAAGAGCATGCATACTGCTTCGTATTCTTTGTTGCCCTCTCTCTTCCCTCCCCTACTCGTGCTCTGTCTCTCTCTCTCTCAAAAATAAACATTAATTTTTTTTTAAAAAAAGAGCATGCATAATTGTAACAGAGGACTATCACCAGTATAGGCTTTATATGACTAGGTGGAATTCTCTTGGTATAAATCACTATGTTTGGGCTAGCTGGACCTTAGCCTTGTAGACTCAGAAATTTTATACTTTACACACAGGATTCTAGAGAACCAACTGGTACTGGGGGAAAGATGCAACATACTAATAAATAAGAACCAGGATAACAGTTTATTATTGTGTAATAGGAAGAATAATTATCCTGTATACCAGATACTTGTGTTTATGGGTAATTAATGAGAAAAAAACCTCATCTACTCATAGACAGAGTTAACAAAGAAGATTTTTCTTGCCTGAGCCTGGACTAGGTAGAGGGGAAAAAATGTCTTCCCAGAGAAGTTATAAGCACGCAGGCCCACACTCATATGGATTTGACAGTATATTGGCAGGATGGTCTGCGATCCTCCAAACCAAGAAAAGAACACAGAAAATGGTCCCTGAAGCACTTAACAAATGCAAACATAAAATGCTCTGAAGGGAGGCATTTGCAGCTGAGACTATGCAGGATTTCCTCAGATTAAGTCCTGAACTTGAAATCTAGAATTACAAACATACATGGAAACAGGGGACAGAAGAGACACTAGGATTATACACTCAAAAACTTCAAATAATAGATTTATCAGATAGGGAATTGAGACTATAAAATAAATGTTTGAATGATTAATGACTCAAATCTCTATACCTGAAGTATTTTACACATGGCTGTATGAAGAAAAATGCTTATCAAAATTAAAAAATTCATGGAGAATTGAACATTAAATTAGACACAAATGAAGAGAGAAAAAGCTAACTGGATCATAGATGTGAGAGAATTATTCAGAATAAAGCACAGAAGGAACAAAATTTTATAAAAATGTAGAGAGAGATTAATTCAACATACATCTAATAACATTTTCTAAAGAAGAGAATAGAGAAGAGGCTATCAAAGAGATAATGGCTGATAATTTTTTAGAACTAATGAAACATAAGGGCGCCCAGGTAGCTCAGTCAGTTAAGCATCCAACTCTGTTTCCACTCAAGTAGTGATCTAATGGTTCATGATATCAAGCCCTGCGTGGGGCTCCCTGCTGATAGCATGGAGCCTACTTGGGATTCTCTCTCCCTCTCTCACTGCCCTTTCCCCGCTCATGCATGTGCGCTCTCTCTCTCTCTCTCTCTCTCTCTCTCTCTCTCAGAATAAATAAACTTAAAAAAACAAGAAAAGAACTAATGAAACATAAATATTCAGACTCAGGAAATTTAAGAAACCTGGAAAGAAATCCACACCTAGACATATCATAGTAAATTGCTTGAAACCGGAGGAGATCTTAACAGCAACCAAAGATAAAAGAACAATATTCTTTTAAAAAGAACAATAACAGGCTAACAGTGGGCTATATCATCAGAGTCCTGAGACAAATTAACTGACAATTAGAATTCTCTACCCAGCTAAATTGTCATTTAAGTGTGACATAACATTTTCAATGCCTGGGAGAATTTACTATTACAAGATCCTCACTGAATTCTAAAAGATGTTCCCTAATGAAAAGGCATGAAATGCAAGAAAAAAAAAATGTTTGATATAGGGAGCATAGAAAAAAACAAATCAGTATTTCCATATCTTGTTTCCTTTTTCTTTGTGGAGAGTATATAGGATTTACTATTACTGTAAACATTTTTCTAAGGATCTATATGCAATTGAGCTAAGTGTGAGCTTGTATGAAAAAAAATTTTTAATACATTTTAAAAGGGAAAAATTTTATTGTAATGATTAAAAAACAACAGATTAATAGTGATTGTTTCCAAATTGTGTGTTATCACTAGTTTGGGTTGCTCCTTATCATTTTCAGTATTTTTTAGTTTTATAAATGAATATTTTATTATTTTAGTTAGGAATAAAATATTTTAGAGTAACATTTAACAACAATTCTTCTTTCATTTAGATCTAATCCTTTTTATGAACCTAAACCAACTCTTCCTCCAAATAATTTGGTAAATCCAATTCAAGAACTGGAAACTGAAAGGAGAGTGAAAAGAAAAGCCCCAGCCCCACCAGCCCTCTCACCAAAGATAGGAGGATTAAATGAAAACACAATTATTTCTTCAGGAAGAGATCTCTCCACTTCTCCTAAGGTAGGAGTTTATTCTTAGTAAAAACATGTGTTACGTTTAATCTTTTTCCCCCCATGCAATTTTATTCAAAAATTAAGAAAAATCCTTGTTTGCTATTTTTGATGATATTTTAAAAGTACAATCCAAGTAAATCTGTTATACTGCAACAGTGTGTATATGTTTGGGAGCCTGTAAGTTTACAGAACAGTATGGATAATTTGGATTAAGATTTTTTAAATGCTGTTTTGAAATCAGAGGAGGGAAGACATTATCATTACAGTAATGGTGCTTTAAAGAAAGAATAAAGCAGCTAGGTGTGAGGGACAGTTTGCATTGATACAGAAGAAGTAGAAATCATTCTCTGAGAAACATACTGGAAAGATTAAGTTCCAGTGCACAGAAATGCCTTTTTATTTTTTAAGTTTATTTATTTCGAAAAAGAAAGAGAGAAAGCATGCATGCAAGTAGGGGAGGAACAGAGAGAAAGGGAGAGACAATCCGAAGCATAATCCTCGCACTGACAGCGTGGAACGTGATATGCGGCTCTGACTCACAAACCATGAGATCATGACCTGAGCCTAAATCAAGAGTCAGACGCTTAACCAACTGAGTCACCCAGGCACCCTGAGAAATGTTTTTTTGAAGAATTTCAATATTGTCATTTTTGTTTATGTCAAGTTAAAATTTTGGCCTTATTGTCACTATTTTTAGAAATTTTAATGCATAATTATTTCATGGAAAGATAAAACACATTTTTGGAACAAGTCTAAAGCTTTTAAATGATTGCAAATAGTATGATATCTTGTATGTCTAAGGTCAAAATGTTGGATTTAGTAAGTTTTTTAGGTAAGTACCTTTTGCCCATCAACTCATGGGTAATTTGTTATTGCTATCATAATACATAATTTAATTCTCACAGGTAGTTAAGGGAAAAATAAGATGAACTTCCACTTAGTGGGATACAGTAAAGATTACAGGTCCTCCAGCCAGTAGAAACAGGATTGGAACTGTCACTTCCATTAGTTGAGTGATATCTGGGCCATTCATCACCTCAAGTGCCTACTGCTGTTTTTCTCAAGCACACTAAAGTTCAGTAGTTTCTCTTGGATATTTCAGTTAATATTTTTTGTTTGTTTGTTAAATGCTAGAGTTGTGAAATAGTTTGCCTGTAGTTTCATTGTTTTAGAGAGAAAGTTCACTGAGGTTTTCACTCTTGTATTCTAAAAGTCTATCTCAAGGTATTTGCTTTTGTATCAGGTATTTTTTAACCCTGTAACTTTAAGGGGAGAAACTTGGACTAGATTTCCATCTTCTAATTGGTTAGGGAAAGGTGGGAGTGGGGGCTCAATGCTATAAACAAAAGCAGCACATCTTAGAAATTACAGGAAAGGAGATGGCCAATTCCTGTGCCCATGATAGAAAAAAAGACAGTAACTGGGGCACTAGTCAGAATCAAGAAGCTGTTTAGGTCCTTTAACCATTCTAACTGTCCCTTGTCTCCCGAAATCTCTACTCCACTGCCTACTCCCTGCCCCACCCTCTTCTATAGTCCATCAGGAGTTTGAAGCTAATTAAGACATCCTAATCTCTTTGTAGGGAACTTAACAGTGCCTCTTGTATACATTTGATCCATAAAACAACTTAAAAAATACATATCATTATCTCCTTTTTATATGTAAGAAACTGAACCTTAGTTTAGTAAGTTGCTCAGAATGATAAAACTAGTAGTGACAGTGCCTGGATTAAAATTCAGGTCCTTTTAATCTAAAACCCATACTTTTCCCATGGTGCTATTCTACCTCTAGAGAGCTAATTCTAGTTCCCCAGTTCCAAATTGGAACTGTAAACACATTGTTCCATAGAAACATTGCTAAACTTGGTGATTAAGTTCTGTTGTAGTGATGTATAACATAGCTGTTTTTTATATTATTTTGAGGATAGTGTCCCATTGCAACTATGCCATGGAATAAAGGATGTTATAGGAAAGGCACCATGCCTCTCTTAGAAAGTGCCTTATGAAGCTCAGACACAGACAGACACAGACAATAGAAATGCCATCAGTCATATCCACAGTAGCACATTCTGCTGATCTGGGAGTTAGTTCATATTACTCAATTATGTGAAGTACAGCTGTGAAAAATTACTTTTAAAAAAGATTGTTGATATTAAATTTAAAAAATAAAGGAAATAAAGTATATAATGGTTACAATATAATATCTTTTGTATGTATAAAGTTTTATTTAAAAAATTTTTAACATTTATTTATTTTTGAGAGAGACAGAGCATAAGCAGGAAGGGGCAGAGAGAGAAGGAGACACAGACCCTGAAGCAGGCTTCAGGCTCTGAGCCATCAGCAGAGAGCCCAGGATAGGCTCAAACTTACAAACTACAAGATCATGACCAGAGCTGAAATTGGACACTTAACCGACCGAGCCACACAGGTGCCCCTGTATAAAGTTTTATTTAAAAAGCTTTATTCACACCTACATTGAGAACACACACGGACATACATACTCAAGTGCATTGTGGAAGGAATTATAAGTAATTTATTAGTGAATACCTTTCATGAGAAGGGTTTTGGTAGAGTAGAGCGTATGCACAAGACTGAGAAAGGCATTTCTTTTCCTTTTTTACCTATTTTTGAATTTTTGAACCTTACATATGTTTTACTTCTGTTTTTGTTTGTTATACTAATCAAAGTTACTGAGTGATGAGATCATGGATCTTTTTGTTGTTGCCTTCTGTACAAGGTACAAGATATACAAGGTACAAACTAAGAAAGTTTATCCTTCAGAATAGAGGAAATCACCCTTGGATTTCACCAGTGGTGTTAAACTATTTGATGGTGGCCTGGGGTTTAATCAGGTACCTCAGTGTTCTGCATGGAGGACCAGGTATAGAGGCCTAGCAGCAGAACGCTGGCTCCCCTATTCTGTTTCCACAGCAGAAATCCATATTCTTTCATTTTATATATGGAATTCGTGTACGATTTCATAAAAAAAAAAAAAAGAAAAAAAAAAAAAAAACAATTGCCAACCCCCCCCCCCACTCTGGAAAGTACAAACTATCCATTATGTATGAGATAAGAAAGATTAGAATCAATGGCATACTGACAGTAATAAAAATGATAGATGGTGGCCTGGGGTTTAATCAGGTACCTCAGTGTTCTGCATGGAGGACCAGGTATAGAGGCCTAGCAGCAGAACGCTGGCTCCCCTATTCTGTTTCCACAGCAGAAATCCATATTCTTTCATTTTATATATGGAATTCGTGTACGATTTCATAAAAAAAAAAAAGAAAAAAAAAAAAAAAGGACCATTGCCAACCCCCCCCCAAACTGGAAAGTACAAACTATCCATTATGTATGAGATAAGAAAGATTAGAATCAATGGCATACTGACAGTAATAAAAATGATAAATGGCAGCTGAGAAAGCACAGTAGTATGGGGCTTATTCATCATAGGAGTAGATATATGTGTGCATGTATCTATTAGAAGAGATGTATGTATAGATGCGTATCTTCTAGTGGTTTGTGAAGACTTTGTGGTATTAAAGCTGAGTAAAATAATGGACCGTTTTGGCAACTTTCAGTCAATATGAAAAAAAATCTTACTGTGTATTGTACACAGTATTCTGTAGAGGGAAGCAAGAAATTATGTTTTACATCAAAATATTTCCATTAAAATTATTGAAGACTTTTAATGCTTTTAAGTTATGCTCCTTGCCAATTACTTTCCTTACTTGTAAATTGAAAGGAGATAATAGTTCAAATAAAGCTTTTGGGAAAAGCCAGGTTCATTTTAGTCAAAGAATAAAAGGGTATTATACCATAATTGTTTTGTGTAACACAATGCTAGACTGTACTCAGGGGTAACTGACTGCAGAGACTGAGGAGCATTCAGTGTCATCAAATGACAAGTGCTCAGCCAAATGATTAATTTCCCCACCTGTCACCTGAAACTACTTATTTTTCAGAAAATTTATGAAAAAGAACTAAGATCAGGGGCACCCGGGTGGCTTAGTCGGTTAAGCTTCCAGCTTTCACTCAGGTCATGATCTCGCGGTTCATGGGTTCGAGCCCCGCATCGAGCTCTGTGCTGACTGCCAGCTCAGAGCCTGGAGCCTCTTTCAGAGTCTGTGACTCCCTCTCTCTCTGACCCTCCCCTGCTCCTGCTGTCTCTCTCTCTCTCCTAGAAATAAATAAAAAACATTAAAAAAAATTAAAAAAAAAAAAAGAAAAAGAACTAAGATCAGAATTTAAACAAACAAAGTGGGAGTAAGCATGTACTTATATTGCAAATAAAATTCAAACTACCCTGAAGGAAGCTAAGGACCTTTCAGTGTCATAAATCTGTATAAACTCCATGCTTCAGACCGTTGATTCCTGTATTTATAAAGTAATAAAACCTAAAAGTTTTAAAAACAACTTAGGAAGAAGGCCAATGTGTAGCGAAGTAACCTGACATTAAATATATGACCATTCAATAAAATAAAATGATAATTTTTTTTTTAACATTTTATTTATTTTTGAGAGAGAGATAGAGACAGCATGAGCAGGGGAGGGTCAGAGAGAGAGGGAAACACAGAATCTGAAACAGGCTCCAGGCTCTAGCTGTCAGCACAGAGCCTGTTGCGGGGCTCGAACCCACAAACCATGAGATCGTGATCTGAGCCGAAGTCGGACGCTTAACCGACTGAGCCACCCAGGCGCCCCAATAAAATGATAAGTTAGACTCAGTGGTGCCTGACATCATTTACTAACTGAGAATATAAGTTAATTAATAAATATATAACTCTGAACTCCTAGATAAAATTCCTGCAACATAGTATAAAATGCCATTAAAATTATGAGAGTGAGCTTAGGAACATAAACAACATTGTTCCTAGAGATATCTGCTAAAGTATATTATTAAACAGTATATACCCAATTCCATAAAAATCGGAATATATCAACAGCCAACTATCAATGGCAAAAAAGAATTAAAATAAACTTACATTTCTGTGATAGCATAGAGAAAAGC